CGAAACGTCAGTCACCAACAACAGTTCTTTTCAGAACTACACTCACCCGGACGATCACACTATACGAACTACTGATACTCCTGGGTTCAAACCATTTACTATGAAGCTTATTAATGCAATATATCAAAACACGAAGTCGCAGTGTTTGACCACCGCTTTTCCAAACATAGAGAAGAGCTTCGACGACTTTGCAAATGTAGTCAGAAACTGTCTTCACTGTTTGATATAACTGCTCATTCAAAACTAAAACTAAGGAAAAACTGGAGAAATAAGCTCTTAAAAATCTATGTTAGTTAAGGTCCGATATCCAAGGGTCGTTACTTCCTTTCTCTAAACCTAATAAATTTCTTTATGAGTTTGAGAACGTTGAATAAACGCCGCGATGTTTTCTGAAAATTCCTGGATAATTTGAAACGGGCGAATGCGAGGACATTGGCACTTGGAGTTGGATAAGAGTTAATTCACAATTTACGTTTGACTGACGCATACAAAAAGATTTTTAACAGTTCATTGAAAAATTGCCATGAAAATAGCAAACAAATTGGAGCCTAATCTTAGCATACCGTACTTAAGAGAACTTACTGCCAGCGAACTGAAAATTAACCCAAAATTGTTACTTTCGATCGAATAAAAATCTTTTGACCTACAAAAAAAAGGGAACACGACGTTTAACAAAAGCAACCATTTATTATCTGTGTCGCCATGATGTTACTCTTTACATGGCACCATGCTTCACAGCATGGAATGTTGACACCTAGAGACAAAACCAAAGTGGCTAGCTGACCTAAATATCTTGGTAAAAAAACGCCAAGGAGGGAAAATATCTCATAAAAAAATAAGATAGAAATCGCCAATTTTTTTTCTCGTCGGATAGGCTCTTTGCTAATGTCAGTACCGATACTGTATCTTTATATAGCTTCTGCATGCCACCCTAATCCCTGTCAAAATGATGGGGCTTGTCTAAGATTTGGTAATCAATACTCCTGCCAGTGCAAACAAGGCTTCTCTGGAAACCGGTGTAAAGGTATGAGGACTTTGCAGTTTTACTTCCCTATATCTTTGGATTACAGGTATGTTACGTCATTACCTCTTTAACTCTGTAAGGGGCCACTGTGAATCTGTGAATGAAGGATCCATGACCCAGATTTGTTTATCGGGCAGAGTTAAAGTAGAGAAGAGAAATTATGCCTGTTTGAAACGATGTTTTTTCTATTATTAAAGTATTCCCAGCATTAGTGTAACTGGTTGACGTCCCCTACCATCCAACCCTAGTGGCTTCTGTGATTCCGGTTTTCATAGAATATTTAAAAAAAAACAACAACGACAACAGATTAACCTTTAATCGTTGTATTAAACTGCTTCCCATGTTGCGATCGGTGATAGACATTCTCTAAAACCCTCTTTTTTTTGTAATCCGATCTTTTGATTTTTATTCAATGAATTTCAGGCGGTCTCTGTCCACCTTCATCAGAGTTGCAATATCAAAGCGCGAGCAATAACGAAAAAAAGGTTTAGAGAACGTCCTATAAAAATATAACAACTTCTTATAGCAAAATAAAGTTAATTTTAACATATATACTGACTCTGAGGGTTAGTTCCTTCGCATTCACTTTTCAGGCTAGAGATATGTTTAAAATAGTGAGAGACAGAAGTACAATTAGTTTGAATGATCAGCATGGTATCATTATCTGTCATAGCAAACTCCATCAGTCATTAGCAGAGTCCAGTTACACTTTGGATGGCCTTGACCATTTAGTTGTAACCGTTCGATTACCGTGCAAAATTATTCATCTTCATACTTTTATTTCTAAGTAAATATATTCGTTTATATCTCCAAAGTTTCCCCTGGTTTTTTTTATATCTATTTTTTCGCAGTTCGAAGACCATGTTCCCTTGTCCTCTGCCTTAATGGAGGAACCTGCGTGGATGGGTCTTTCACAAACAGTAAATATGGCTTTGCATGTGTGTGTCTGCCGGGATTTGACGGCATCATGTGCGAGAAACATCTTCCGGATGACTTAGGAGATACTCTTCAAATTGCATGAACGGCATGTGGTCGATAAAGCCAACGGTTTGGGTCTTCAACTCTTTATTTGTAGACAGCAATAATAGTCAATATATAAAATTATATGGATTTTCGAGATTTAACGACCCACAATATGCGAGAGAAGCAACTTCATGGCCGTTAGAAGTATATTCGAAGTTTCACTAAGCATTTCACACCTTAAATGTAGGAAAGGCAAATCGCTGTTAAAGTCATAGCACATCGCGATGGCAAGTGTCATGCGTTTACTATACCAGTGGGGTTCATTAAAGGAGCCTCATATTCTCCAGCAACGAAAATATCTCAATAAAAAATAGAATATAAATCGCCCATGTTCACTTTATTCTTGGCAAAGAGAACATTCATAGTTTATCTTTTTCGTTACGGCCGTAAAAAAAGCACAAATTGTTCGTCCGAAAGTAAAAACAAAATTGTCCCGTGAGTAAGGTCAGGCCTGGGCCCGGCTTTGATTCAAAACTTCCTGTTTACGTCACATAGCAGTTACTCAAAATTAAGCTTGATGTACAGAAAGTTAGAATGTACAATGGGAAGATATCAAATAAAATTGCATGGCACTAAAGAAAGTAGATCTAAAAAAATAAACAGTAAAACCGTCGTGTTAATGTAATTAGCTTGGTTTATTATTGCAAAGTTTTGAAAACTTAAGATATTTAGAACGAAATAAGTTTGATAACTTGTGTAAACCATTAGCGAACGGGTTTTTGCTGTGATCTTTAGCATGACTTTGAGACCTTTTTTCCACAGCAGTATAAAATTATTCTAATTTTCCTTAAGCCTTCTTGTCTGTCATCATGTTTTCGATCCTTAGGGGTACAAATCCCTCCAAATTAGCGTTATGTTAGGTTTTTAATTGTTTTTTTGTAAATGTCGCTGATGTGTCCAAATTGGTCTTTGTGTTGTTTGTTTTGAATTAGTATCTACACATTGCGTATGAGTAACTCAAATAAAATAATTCGAGTAGAACAATTATCGTAGTATATCAATGAATAAATGGCAAGCAAACGTAGTGTGCATAAGTCAATTTGTTTATTTGTCGAAAAAAATGAAAAATAAAAAAAAAACTTTGTTCCGTTCTACAGCGCATTTCCGGAAATGCTTCACATCTGTGTACACAGCCACCAGTTGCTAACTCAGTTTTTGTAGTTAAAGGTAGATAACGTAAAACCAGGGTGCAAGACGAAAAAAACAAACAAACAAACAAAACACCTGTTAGTTTCGTTTTTCACCAATAAACTACTACTAGCATTGTTTCCTGGATCAATAAACTAGCTGGGAAGTCTAGCGAAGCGTAAACAGGTACAAAATTGGAAAAGCTTTGAAGTTCATCTCCAGTTGCTGATTTGGAATTCAGACATCATTGACAAACGCCCATCTTTTGACAATCGACAATGGACAGCCCGTGGTTTCTTTATTGGTAGTATATTGTTAGTCATACTTGACTGATGTCATCATATCAGTGAAATCACATCGCATCTGTGAACAGGGATCGTCTAAACAATTGTTTCCTTCTAAATTGTAGCGTCGTGGGTTGTTTAAACAAAAGAAATGGCCGAATCACAGGGGAAATTTACACAGGAGGGTTTTGAAAGGACGTGAAGAACCCGTAATGAAACAACTTAGATTACAAATCACCTTAATATGGCTGGTTTTACTCTCAATTTCTCACACAAAAGGGAAACGTCTTCGTCCACGACGCAAAGTTGACTTTCTTTATCCGTATCGGACCAATGCATATTTCCGATTTTTAACCGAAAGGACACGATATGGACCAGAGAAAAGCGCGGTAGATTATGACGAGGCGCCGGAAAGAATTAAGCGAGGAAGTAATCGCTCTGAAAATAATAAAACTTTTCGACGGAAGATTTCACACGGATCTACCGCACTACCACAACCAGCAAAACCATTGCGTGTAGTAGCCACTTCCGCTGTGATAAAAAATCGACTCAAGAAACCTCGACCACTGAAAGCAATTCATATATGGGGACCGACACCTTTTAAGACCGTGTTGCAAAACCTTCGAAAGATTAACGACAATCTTCAAAAGCAACGTGGATCTGTGAAAAGGTTGTTTCTTCCCGTTCAACTTCAGCGAATGCAATTCTTAAACGATTTACATAATAAACGTCTTTTCTCCGGAGCTATTGGGCCGTTTCCACATCGAATTGCCCCTGTCAATCTGGAAGGACAATTTCCTCTTCCTTCTGATGCAGTACACTCCCCCGATGCAATTCATCTCGATGAAGGACCCCAACCACCTCCTGTTATGCCAGCTCCAATTGGACCTATACTTCCACCATTGCCAGTTCCTCCACAGCCTGTTGCTCCCCTCCATGAAATGGGCCCTACGCACTTTCAAGAGATGAACCCCATTCATACTTTTCTCCCAGATCACGAAGCTGTCCCCATTCACGAAATTGCCCCTGAGCATGACTTGGGACCAGAAACAGCAATTCCCGATGTAGGTCCATCACCCCAAATGGCTCCTAATAACTTTGGTTTGCCTGACATACCACCTCCCAATTTAGTACCAAACTTTGTGCCACCACGTGGCTTGTTTGAGCCACCATTTCCATTTCTGGCTGGGGAAATACACGAAGAGGTTAACCGCCACGTCCATAAAGGTAGGTTAAATAACGAGCGATAAAGTACTTGAACATAAAATAGAGACTAAGGGCGCGTTTCTCTAACAAAATCCAAGATTGGTTACTTAAATCCGAAAACGGATTTTGCGTTTCTTTTCTTAACAGATCAATCCAAGATCTCTCAGATCATGGTGCATCAAAGGAACCGAAGGGGTCATATGACTCAGTGCAAATACAAAGTCAATCAAAGCATTCAACTTAGGAGAGATGCGGATTGGAATGTCGTATTCCATTAAGTTCACAATATGAATTATATTAAATTTCTCTCAGGTAGCAATTTAAGAACTTACTAAAACATCCATTTTGTTTGTTTACGATCTATATAAGGTGTTTCAAAGGCAAAATGCAGTCCTAATCCATGTAGAAACGACGGCATATGTACAGCTTTTGAGAAGCACTACGAGTGTGAGTGCCCCATTGGATTCATGGGAAAAGACTGCGAGGGTACGTTCCGTCACACTTCCATGGCTTGTCTCATTAGAATAATCGATAATTTGTATTTGCTTAGAGAACTACAGAGCAGTTTCTGAGTACGGAGGAAAGCTGCCGTTCCTCAGCTGTTAGCTGCGCACATCAAGATCATGACATATCACCTGAGTAAACTACACTTATTTATAGCTTCTGCTTATTAAAGTAAATGCAACAGGGTCATCTTCTCAAAATTCCTTGAAGATTCCTTCTGATAACAGCCTTGTCTAGTAGTATTGAACATCACGATAAAACTATTAATCCTTCTCTACTGAAAAGGGCAGATCGGGGATTAAAATGACGCGCATTTTCAATACTCGATCAATGATATACAAATGTTTCATTTAGAGGTTAACCACTGTCTTCCAAACCCATGCAAGAATGAGGGAAACTGCTACGCTACTTCAGATGGTTACCACTGCACATGCGTGAGAGGATTCAAAGGGCCCAACTGCGATAGTAAGTAAGCACGCAACAGAAGCAACGCATTGCTTCCTGCATTGACAAAGGAGGCACCACGTAAAATTCATTTCGCAGAGCAGAACCTATGCTTTAAAGTACTTCCTTGCTGGCTCCAGTAGCAGAAAAAAAATCATACCGGAGAATCATCAAACCAACTAAGCTACATAGAATAGACCATTTTACAGTTGTCTGCTCAGTGATCTGGCCTTTGAATGGCAGCGAGGCTGGAGGTGACCTTGCTTTGATACAGACCTCTCTGCTCTCTGTAAATGCACCTAGATAGCATTAGAACAACTTGATTTACGCAACAAAAGCAGTGAGGTCTCTGGTAGTAAGCTCAACTAATAGTCAATTAATTTCAGTTGGCACGCATTGCCACTGTAGTGGTTGTTTTAGCTTGACTCACTTTGATTGGTTACTACAACACTTATTTACACAGTCAGTAGCAAATGCCTTCCAAGTCCATGTAGGAATGGTGGAACGTGCGAGGAGGATGGTAGCTCGTACAAGTGCATCTGTCTTCCTGGATTTGAAGGAAGCAATTGTGAAGGTAAACGTTAGTCTATGCCTCTGTAAGCAAGATAAAAGGAAATACCGTTGTCATCTTGGGGAATAGTTCATCTTCGATTGGGAAGAAACTTATTCTCTTTGTAATTTCAGAGGCTAACAAACCAACTAAGGTTGCAATGTATTTCCCTCTTATTTTCTTAGCTGCTGACCATTGTGCCATTGGCAACCCATGTAAGAATGGCGGGACTTGTTTGAATGGAGAAAAGAAATTCGAATGCCATTGTTTACCTGGATTTTATGGTGTAGACTGTGGAGGTATGTGCTATATTTGTATTCACAAAGTAATTTCAATTGCCGGTAGATATTCTTTTTGCTACATCAAAAGATTTTTGTTTTACTCTGTATCGGTCGTATTGTATATGTATGAGTGATATAATTTTTTTTTCTCTTCAGATTTGGATGTTTGTTACTCAAGTCCATGTCAAAATTCTGGAACGTGCCACAACACTGGAGCAGGGAAGTTTATGTGCATGTGTCCTCCAATTTTCAGAGGAGTCACATGCGAAGGTGAGGGCTTGAGATAGGGAAGTCGATATTATTGAGCGTCAGAGACCATGGATAATCTACGGCGTCTTTGTGCTAATTAGGGAATGTAATTTAGATTCTTTGGAATGCCTACCTCTGTTATGTACGCCATGTATTTGGGATTGTTCTAGACTTCGATCTTTGCAACTAGCTTTGATTGATTTGATGGTGCCTTAGTGATTCAACTGTCAGTTAGGTTTAATAAAAGGTTACTTGTGTTCTGTTACATATTTTGCTTTTCCTTTGTGTACATGTCTTAGTTTCTTGAAAAAGAAAATGTTTCCTTTGACTCCACTATACGTGTATTGTTCGATGATTGGAATTACACGCTTCAATTAAGTCCAGTTTGATAATATTTATCCAATTAAAGTACACGTACAATGTAGTAGTAGGCATCCTTGGGACTTAATTAAGCCCAATAGAATAGCGTACTTTTGGTTGGGTGCAGCTTTGCTGTGGCTAAAGAGCCTAATTCTTGATTTAAAGTTACAAGCCTAATAAAAATCTTTATCAAGCATGTGCCAAGCCAAAAGAGCCCCTTGACTAAATTTAGGAAAAATAATAATCTCAGGTTACCAGTCATTTTTTTCTTATCTTAGAAAACAAATAAACATCGAAACAAATAAATTATTTAATAACGTGTTTTGCGTTGGAGCAGGGGATTCATGAAAAGGCGGCAGTTCATCTGTGGGAAAGCCCTAATCCGAAAAGTGACTGCGAATCTTCGGCTACAAATTTATATTAAATTGTGTAGCAAGTTGTCACTTGCCTTGAACTTTGATTTTTGACAGAAAGAATTTCCAAATGTGAATCCCAGCCTTGCCAAAATGAAGGAACCTGCATAGAAGACGAGCTAGATGGCTTTCACTGCATTTGCTCTAGCAAGTATCAAGGAAAACATTGCGAAGGTATATTAAGAAACGTAGTTTGAAGTCTCATATATTAAAAATATAAGACCCTGCATTACTTACCAGGAGTTTAAATGCCTGCTTTTTTATCTAACGTTTGTGATAAACTTTGCAAACGGGCTGTCGTTGGCAACAATGTAACCTGTTTCCAAAGTCTCAAGAAAAGCTCATGAATATGACAAACGAACAGACATTCAAGCAGTCGTCGAAGGGTATTATTTCCGTATTTATCATACCCAAACTCGCAATTGGCCAATCAGAGGTTGTGTCCACTGTTCTGATATCGTGTTATATCAAGTCACTGACCTGATATGGTTAAGATATCCTGGTCACTTGTGTGAGTTAAATACCTCGTTTGCATGCTTGATCTTGCCACGATCAATGGTTAGACCAAACACGTCTCGATTAGGTATAAAAATTAAGAACAAGAAGAACCGTATGAAGGTGGCGTGGCATGCTTTTCTATTTTTCTTGTTTCCTTGATTGTTTGAATAATTGTGGTATATTTTGATACTGATATAAAAGAAATAAGAAATAGAAAAGATATATTGGAAAATAAGAAACGACCAATAAGGTGGTTACTCTATCTTAATCATCTATCAATATCACGAAGAAAATTTCAAGCTGATCAACTCTGGTGCTTACAAAATTGAAACGTTAAAATTCTAGTACATTCCAGATCTAGACCGTCGACATATCTATATTTTTAATTCAGAATTACGCAGCGCTTGTTACAAAAATCCTTGCATGAATGAAGGAAAATGTGTTGTCGCTGGGGACACTTTTAATTGCCGTTGTACTGATGGATTTACTGGATCTACGTGCGAAGGTTCGTTAGCTGTAGTTAGAAATTCCTATCAACCATATCATTCCATAGGCCCTGTCCACACTACGCATAAACGCATCAAATGTTTCCGTCCACATTACGCTGGAGAAATTTAAAAACGCAACAATCATCGGTCGCTTTAGATTTGTGTTTGAAGAAAACTCGGGCAGCGAAATCGCATCATGTATCGTGACGGCATCGTCTTTGAGAAGCTTCGTTTTCAAATTCTTTTCCGTCCACACTTAAACGTAATGCCGGTATTCTCAAATTCTTCCGGTTTGAAGAGCGTTTCCGAAAAGCTCTGTTTTCTGACGAATTCGTGTGGACGGTAGGCCTGACCGTGGACATAATGCTGCGTTTTCAAATTTCTTTGGCGCAGTTTGGACGGTGCCTTAATGGGCGAAACAATTATTGCATCGTAAAAACTAGCAGTTTATTCGATTCTAGGAAATTTTCGTGTTTCTAACTTGTGAGTGACTGGTTTTCAGTATGAGAGACACATTCATCGAATTAAAACTTAAACTGCGTTGACAGATGAAAACATACGGGATGAATCAGACCAGTTATTTATTCAATACAACGTGCGAAATAGCGAGGTAGAATCCAGCCCTTTAATTCTCACAAGAGCTCTAAGCGATAGGTAATAATTACCATTGTTATAAGTTTTTCTCTATATCCAAGTAAAGTCAAGGGCAGGCGAGGAGATTCTTTTTCAGCTGATAGCAGTTACTGTTACTTACATAATTGATCTCACATATTTTGAATACTTTGACCGTTTAGACTCTGTCCTAGAAAATAAGCGAACTTTCTTTTCTTTTCTCTGGGCTATTTCGGTAGCTAAGCTTCTTAACGTTATACCTTTCAGTGGTCCAATTAAATACCTTAGTATTCTAGCTAATGAGTAATTTTCAAGCTTTAATTACACATGCTGTGTTCCCAGCTGTAAAAATTCTAGCCTGCTCCAGGCTCTCGGTAGTTGGGACGAGCGAATAGACCCTCGTTTTTTCTCTCACTTGCCCTCTTTTTTTCGCTCATCCCCAACTACTGAGAACCTGGAACAGTCAGAGAAAAAAACTGGGACTAATGTCAAAATATTGTTTTCTCAGATCTTGTCATCGTAAATCCAGTGAAAATGTCGCTTGCTCTGCACTGCACCGATTGCCATGACCATGCCAAGTGCATCAATGGAAAATGTGTTTGTCAGGAAGGATACGACGGAAACGGCAATGTATGTGAAGGTATTTATAAAATTTGTTCTCTGCAGTTTTATTTAAGAACATTTTGATAGCTGCATGTTGTTCATTGAAACGCAGTCGTGAAGTCATTTCCATTGTTAATGTGACAGGTATCATGATAATGGCTACACAAAACCAAGTATTACATAGCGCACAGGGTTTTTGGCGCATTATGGTCTGGCCAGA